ACGTTTTTCTCCACTACCATGAAAGGACGGACGCGTTGTACGATCTTGTCCCCCACGTAGAATCAAGCTTCCAGCTTTCTGAATTTTCCAGAAATGCCCTCCAACGGATATATTATTTTATTGGCTATATATATGCTTGAAGACTAAAAGAAAAGGCTGCTAATTCCCATGTTCTCTCTCATAAGAATGTTCATAAGCATTCATTTATTTTCTTAAGTCTATTTATTCTTGAAATACTATTTACTATCAGCTTGTGTAGAAGAAAATCTATTGTAAACAAATCTCTTTCAAACTGTTGTTTGATTGTGCCTTAAGGGACCAGTTGGTCAGAATCCTTGAGAAGTCTAAGATTAGTGTGTCATAAAGGTTGTACGTGAGTCACTTGAAGTTAGCTTATGCATTGTAATAATATGTTATATTATTGGATGAAGACCTTGTTTGATAAGGCAAAATCACCTTGGCGGGTCGACTAGATTAGCTTGATAATTTTCAAGTGAACTAGTATAAACACAACTTGTTCTTTCCTTCTTGCATCTTTAGCTTTATTATCAAGAGTAGAAAAAACTGTTTTCAGTTAAAGGGGATTATTTTTAAGAAAAGTTTTTAATATAAAACCAAATTCAATCCCTCCTTTCTTATGTTTTTCATACTTTCAGCCTTGACAAATAAAGATAAGTTACTCTGTCAAAACAAAGAACACAAGGTAACTTAAAACTTCTTATCATTTGTACATTCTTAGAAGTTCTTAAGTCTTAGAGTTTTTTATGTTGTATTGTGTTTACACCTCTGATTGTATATCAAGTGTAATTATCAAATTATCACTACCATTTATCTTCTAGATAGATTGTAAGAAGTCTCTTGCTTGTGTGTTTGACCATTGAAGTCTCTTGCTTGTATGCTTGAGCATTTGAAGTCTCTTGCTTGTGTGCTCGATCATTAAAGTATCTTGCTTGTGTGCTTGAGCATTGATGTCTCTTTCTTGTGTGCTTGAGTATTTGGAAGTCTCTTGCTTATGTGTTTGAGCATGTAAGTCTATTGCTTGTATGCTTGAGCATTTGGAAGTCTTTTTTCTTGAGCATCGACGCCCCTTACTTGTGTTTTTGGGAATTGGAAGTCTCTTGCTTGTGTGCTTGAGAAATTTGTAATCAGATTTGGTTATAGTTGAAATCTCTTGGAAGTGCAAGGGGACTTGACTACTCTTGATTTGTAGGAAGAACCGGGATAATTGTTTGTGTATTTTCTTGCTCTCTTATTTATTTATGATCAATTTTATCCACTGTTATCACCTTCAAACCTTACTCAGATTTTCTCACTGCAATCAAAATATGATAAGAGATTTACAAAAGAAAAAGGAGAAAAAGTTAACACAATTCAACCCCCTTCTTGTGTTTTTCTCACCTTTAACTAGTATTAGATCATGGTTTGTGCATCAACACATAACATTGGCACATAAAAGATCCTAAGAGAAAAACAACATGCCTAAATCTGATGTTGTTAACAATGCTAATTAAAGTACATCTTAAAAGAACAATTATATTTCTAAACCTCCAACATTCAGTGGTAATTCTACTGAGTTTGAGTGGTGGAAAAACAAAATGTATACTCACATCATATGTCTTGATGATGAGCTATGGGATATTATTGAAGATGAAATTGATTTTGGGTTGATGGAGTAGGTATGGTGGTTGATAGAAAGAGCCTCACACCTGCTCAAAAAAAGATATATAGAAAGCATAATAGAGTTAAAGGAATCTTGATAAATGCTCTACCTCATTCTGAGTATCTCAAGATTCTTGACAAATCTACTACTAAAACCATTTTCAAATCTCTTATGCTTCCTATGAAGGGAATCTGCAAGTTAAATGGGCTAAGGCAAACCTTTTGGTTAAACAGTATGAGCTATTTAAAATGAAGGATGACAAAGACATTGAAACCATGTTCTCAAGGTTTTAATTTATTGTATCTGGTCTTCAAGTGTCGAACAAAAGTTATATAAATGTCGATCATGTCAAGAAGATTATTAGGAGTCTTCTTGCCAAGTATATACCTAAGGTGACTACTATACAAGAAGCTAGAGACTTGAACAAAATAAGTCTAGAAAGCTTAATCAGAAATCTCCAGAGTCATGAGATGGAGATGATTGGAGATGACCTTATTCAAAAGTCAATGTATCATGCTTTGAAGTATGTTGATCATTATGCCAAATCTTCTCAAGTTTGGAAATATGAAGAACCTACTCATGAATGAGGTTCTGAAGAAGAATCAGAAGATGAAGAAATAACATTCATAATAAAAAAATTTCAATATTTGGATAATAATAAGAATAATAGATTCTGCGACAAAGGCGATGACTTCAGAGGGACAGACTCCATGGTCAACAAAGATGATTAGAAGGGATGCTTCAACTGCAAGAAGCTTGGTCATTTTATTGCTGAATGTCAAGAGCTGTAGAAAGACCAACAAAATAAAGGAAGCTTTTAGAAGAACAACATCATAAATAAGGTTAAGAAAAATCTTATGAAAACATGAGATGAACTTGACAAAGAAGACGAATCTGACAAAGATGAAGAAGAAGTCAATCTGGATTTTTCATTTCTTTCAACTGTGTAAACCCTGAATGTGAATTTATGTATTTTCATAACTAAGAATCACTCTTGTAAACACAAATATGATTTAACCAAGTTTGATTGATTTCTTTAAGAGACCAATTCAGTCATAGTTCTTGAATGACAGTTTATCATTGAGGTTGATTTCCTCAAGATACCAGTTCAGTTAGAGTTCTTGAGACATCAATGAAAGTTTGTCATTGAGGTTTAATTCCTCAAAAGACCAGTTCGATTAGAGTTCTTAAGATGTCAATGACAATTTGTCATTGAGGTTTATTTCCTCAAGAGACTAGTTCGGTCAGAGTTCTTGAGATGTTAATGAAAACTTGTCATTGAGGTTGAATTCCTCAAGAGACCAGTTCAATCAGAGTTCTTGAGATGTCAATGAAAATTTATCATTGAGGTTAATTTCCTCAAGAGACCAACTAGGTCAGAGTTTATGAGATGTCAATGGCAATGTATCATTAAGGTTGTAATCAAATGTTGTTTGATTAGTGGATTAAGACATTGTTAATAAGGCAAAATCACTCTGGTGGATAGACTGAAAGTAACCTCGCTAATGGTGAACCATGATAAAATACTTGTGTCTTTTATTACTGTTGTATGGTTGGTGTGTGAGTGTTGTATGTAGTTTGGGTGTTTGAGAAGTTTTAATTCTAGAAATCAATTTGTAAATAATGTAGATAATGTTGCACTGAACTGAGTTAACAATCATTTGTGTTCTTTATTATCTTATGATTTATTTTCCATCTAAATAAAATCTAGTATAAGACATCGTACACATTATCTTAGACATCACATCCAATATATGTCATGCGTAGAACATAATTACAAACGACAACAATAATTTGTCGTTGAACAACAAATTAAGTGGTTTTGGAAGTCACCATGCTCGATGAATCTGATAATATACCTGTTTGATGAGGAGATTAAAATTTCAAGAAAAAAGATACATAATTTGAATCTTTGGTGGAGAAATAATGATTTTTCATTGAAATTAGCAGGAATTAGTAACCAATTCACACCCATGACACCATTTTTCTATTAGGAATTAGATGTAGAAGATGAAAAAGTGGAATCACGTCTTACAATAGTGGAGCAATACTTCTTATGCAGTAAAGTGAAATAGATCTACAAATGTAACACTTCAACGACCAAGTCAATGAGATAATGAGAAGTAATGTGAGAGTGAAGATGAAACTGAATACTAGAAATGACGCAATTTTACCTTTATATATCAATAGCAATTGAAATTGTTTGCGAGTGCTTGAATGAGGCGATGATTGATGCGCTAGAGAGCAAACTTGTCTGCTTCTAATAAAAGCGGAGGTCTAACTATTTTGCATGTCTTTTCCACCTGGAATTCGCTCTTGGGCCTTTTGTGATAATAGATCTTATAGATGACCTACAAAATATTTGATTTTAGATATATACAATTATCGTGAGAACCCAAGGAATTTAAATGTTGTTTCCGTACCTCCCAAATCACTTAGTGCATGTTTGGATTGACATCTACAAGCTCCAAAAGCATTTCTAATTCACTTCAATTTGAAAATTGTTTTTTTCTTGTTTAGATACTTTTCCAAAATCAATCATGTTCCTCCAAAAATTTTTTTTGTTAGAAGCTAAGCTTTTGAATTTAGTAGAATCAATTTTACATTTATTATATATTGCTTGTTACTAACTTTTTTTATTTAATTTTCCTTCTTTACCATCTTTAATATTCATCGATTACTTCTTTTCTTTTTGATTTACATTAGAATTTATTACAATTTTGGTAATGCCTCTTTTTGATAGTTATATCATTTAAAATCAATTTTGATAAAACTATCCAAACAACATTAATTTGATAACAATCAATTCTATATTATTATATCCAAACATAAATCAATTCAACTAAACCTAGTTATGTTAAAATTAATTCTATCAAACTCAATTATTTCAAAATCAATTATTAGCATGTTTGGATTGACTTTTGAATGACCCATAATCAATTCTAGAAGTATGAAATTGATTTTGGATGATTTTGAAGTGTTTGGTTTATCAAAAGTATAATTGATTCTGTATCTAGAATTGATTCTATTTTAAGTTAAAATTTGTACCTTCTACTTCTAGGATTGATTCTGAGTGATTTTTACACTGAAATTTATTGTTCAATTCATTTTTAAATAAATGTATCCAAACACAAATCAATTCTTCTAAACTTATTTTATTAAAATCAATTATACCAAACTCAATTCTATTAAAATCAATTCTATCTATCATTAATCCAAACACAATCTATATCTACCGCCGATCCAAACACACCCTTAAAAAAAAAAAAAAAGACTATGGAGGCTGTCTCACATAAAACAAGACTATGGAGGCTATCTCACTTTTCTCCCTAATTAATCCATGCGTGAAACCCATCACTTATTGTGAGCAAATGCATATTTTATTACTATTTCAAGGAGTCAACACAAAAAATAATACATATTTACGTTCAAAATAGACCGAAGAAACGTGCATTAATTTCAATTCAATACGACCGGCGTTATAACCGAAGTCCACTTAAACGGCACCGTTTCACATTTGAACATTCATAGAAATAACGTTGTAGCAACAAAAACAGAACATCATCAACACTGCAACCCCCATCTGAAAACCCATCACCAACCTTTCCCTCATCACACTGTAAGCGATTTTCTCTTCATTTTCATTTTCTAAAAGTGAAATTTTTAAGGTTTTCAGTTTTCCCCTTTTTGTGTTTAATTTGATATTAATTTGATGAATAATGATGATAGTATTGATAATTTTGCAGTGGAAGAAGATGGGTTCAAAATCAGTGACTTTAACCTTTGAGGATGTGGCTAAGCATAATCAGAAAAAGGATTGTTGGATCATAGTCAACAAAAAGGTCAATTTTTTATTTCTGCAAATTTTTTGTTGATCTGTTTTGGTTTATTGATCTGTTTTAGTTTCTGGGATGAATCTGATGGGTGTTGCTGTTTGTATCTGATACATTTTGTGGAGTAGAAGACTTTTTCTTTACTTGATTTGACTGAGAATGATTTAATATATGAATATGATATGATCCTTGGTATGGTTTTGAGGGGGTAGAAAATGGGGTTTATTAGGGTTTTAAATTGTGATCCTTGAAATCACAGAGAATTGTAGTTTAATGCAGTCGATGCGGTCTCGATAGTTATATCGATGGCTATAGTGTTGTGGTTTGTGGCCAGATCGGGTAGTGGAGCTTTGTTAAAACCCTGGATTCAATATATATTCCAGAAGTTTCTGCTGTAGCCACAGTTCTTGAGTTCTGGCTCATAAGTAGTTCGATTTTTCAATGAGTTTTTATTTCATATTGATTTTTTTTTCTTTAAGTTTTTTTTCATTTTGTTATGAACTTGTCTTTTGATCAAAAGTTTTCTACACTTAAAACTGCCAGATCTGTATTTGTTACTAAAAATGTTCCCTAATTATAATTTTTATTTTTGAATATTATTATTATTATCCTGCCCAAAACCTACCAAATCAATTTTCACTCAAAATCAGTAAATTTCTACCAACAAGAACAATTTCTTGAAATTCTAACCTCATTTTCTACAAAAACCCAATAAATTATGTTTTCCATAAAGTTGACATTTCTAATTATGTTTTCCATAAAGTTGGTATGTATAGCTCCAATGCATCAGAGTTTGGGGTTAACATTAGGAAATCTGAACAAAATGTCGACTTTGCTAGTGTAGTCAAGATTGAGTACTGGATCTTAAGAGTTTACGTGCCAAGGATGTCTGAGAATGCCACGACCAGAGAAAGATTGAGCTTTCATTGCCGGTAATGTCAAGATTGAGCTTTTTAAAGCAAGATCATAAAAAAAAGTGCTGGGCCTTTTTTTTGGGCCTGGATGCTATTTTTCATGTATTTGTGTATGTGTGGAAATATATATGAAATTACCATTTTCCCTTCGATAGGATCTTACGTGCCGTGCTAACGATCTGAGTTTTACAATCTTTCACAAACCAACCGATCCTACTTAAGATTTTGTGCTTGACTACAGTGGACTTAGCTACCACTGCAGCTGTGGTGGGTTTTGAGTTACGCGGTATAGTGGAAAAAGTTATTTTTAGTGGGTAAGTGATGGGTCAGAGAGATGAGGTATTATATGATACCTAAACCCCACGATCTAGACAACACAATTCACGCACGACCTCCACTCTCTGCCTCTGTCTTTCTCCTTCACTTCTCAGTATAGTGGAAAAAGTATGCAAAATATTTAGATAGTTCATATCCTCAGTTTGTTGTGGGAGGTGAATCTTACTCTTAGTTTATTAGAATCCTATTTCTATCTATCTGAATCTAGCTCCTTTAAGTCGAACCCTATCCCACTTGCTTCTCCTGTCACTCCTTAGTATCTACCAACTTTGGGCCTTGTGATTTATCCATTGATTTTTTACTCATAATGCTAGGACTGGCTTTGATAGGTAGATTAGTGAACTCTTATGAGTTGTCTCTGCGCTGCAGAAATTGTTTTAAGATACATATACTAGACTTGAGTTTGACAATATTAGCAACCAGCTGTTTTCTGAAGTAACGTGTTTAAACCGTAACGGTGCATTTTTTTATTTTTTTATTTGAGCAGTTTGGTTCTTTGTTGTTTGATTTAATTTTCTTTTGATGAATGATTGTGAGTGAATAAGTAATGAATGAATTCATCTTTCATGTTGTCTCAACTTTACATCAAAAAGTTTGTTTACTTTAAGATGGGTTAAAGTGTAACACCCAAGATAGTCAAGCACGGGATCTTAAGTAGGATCGGACTGCCTGTGAAAAATCGTAAAGCTAGGATCGTAGCACGACACTTAAGATCTTATTGAAGGACAAAATGGTAAATTCACATGAACAAAAACATGAAAATCATAATACATGAACAAAATAATTTATAAATCACACCTTTCAACTAATATAGTTAATAATTCATAACCATCATTCCATATTTTAATAAAGCTTAAAAGATCAAGTTCAACATAAGTAGCTCAAAAAACATAAATATAACAAATAAATCTAATCATCTTCAACAATGGAAGGAACATCTAAATCATCTAAACAGCTAAACAGCGCTTCACATTGTCCAACATTATTATCTTGATGTCATCTGGAACAGCTAAACAGGGCCTAACATTGATTCTGGTTCCGGCCAAATGATGCTTCAAATGATACACACCTCCTGTAAACTCACCCTCACAGAACTTACACTTCACTTTTCTTGAAGCTGGATCAATTAAAACACAGTATTCCCAAGCTGGGTCGCTTTTCATTCCAAGAGAAGCCATTAAATAGGGAGAAGATAAACAGAAGTTTGATATTTTCGGGGAAAAGAGAATAGAAGTTGAAGATATAAGTTGAAGATGGAGAGGATGAAGTGCAGAATTTTCGTGAAGATGAAGAGAATGAAGTGCCGTTTTTCTGTTCTGTTTTGTTTTAGGGTTAGGATTGCAAGTTAAATAAAAACTGGGTTTTCACTTAAAAAAACCCCAACCCGGTTTAAAAGCCCAAAAAAAAGGCCCAGCACTATTTTTTTTACGATCTTACTCAAAAAACTCGATCCTAACTATGGCAGCAACCAAAAACGATCTTTACCAGATCCTAGCACTAATTTCCCTCCCCAGCACGTAAGATCTTATGACCCAGCACTCGTTTTTGACTACCTTGGTAACACCTATTTACTTAAAGGAGATTACTGTAATTTAAACATCTCTTAGAGGGTAATGTAATTTAAGCTTGGGAATTCTATTCCCAGTTCTTTTGAGGAAGCAAGTAAATTTCATTGCTATATAATAAGAATCATTTTCCTAAACCCTGCCTTGAGAATACAATTACAAAGGAAATGCAGAGGTTATTATATTTGGAGGGAGTTCGTGGAGGCCGGGAAGCACCATTTGCAGCGGCAGTGAGCGTGTACATGGATGGACAGCGCATGCGCGGTGGTAACCATTATATTTGGTGGTATTGGTTGGTGAAAATTTCCTTCCTCAACTAATGGCAAAACCCACCAATGCACAAGCATCTTGCTCCTGTTATTAGCACATCGGGCATGTTCGATTTGTCCACATTTTTTTGTGGGGCGAGCCAAGGTTTTAGGTCCTCACCTTCTAACATGCCCGTCCACCCTGTTTTTTTTGCAGACGCGGGCAGTAACAGGATTTTTTTTACAACTTTTAGACCTCTAGAGTGCGAGGCCCTACTTTCATTTTTTTCACGGGGCAGATCAAAGTTTTAAGCTTGCACCCTCAAATATGCCTGCCCCGCCCCATTTTTTGCAGGCTTTTGCGGCTTCGGCATGTCTGTTTGCCACCCTAAAATATGCAGCAGACCCGTGGACTAATGGGATCTTCTTTTATGAGTATATTGCTCCTGATATTACCATCGAGGTAGAAGTGCCACACCACCACTAACTTCATAAAAGTGCCGCACATAACTGATATATCTGCTAAGTTCACGAGTCCAAGTTTTGACTGAATGTTACAGCCTCCCATTTTTTATTCCCAAGAATAATCTCACTATGCCTATAATAAACATATATGTTCATTCATGTGATTGTGAATGTGTTTCAGTTGCATGAAACAAACATTCTTAGGTGTATGAATGTCTCAATTGACGGCGAGCTTGATAGAATTACAGCACAGTACCTCTGCGATCTCACAAGCTTCCGCTCATCCAAACATAAACTTTAGATTTCTACTTTTATCATTAGTAGGAGTATTATACACCACAATTTTTTTTACTAACTTCCGTTCCATTGTAACAGGTATACGATGTTACTCCATTTTTGGATGATCATCCAGGAGGTGATGAGGCTTTACTGTCTGCTACAGGTAATTAGTTTCTCTTAGTTGGTTCATGTTATTAATCCGCTAACTTAAAAACTATTTAGAAAAACGCAAATCTCACATTGAATAAAGATAAGGTATGTGGAATGAATCAATAGTGTGTCACCCCGATCTTACAAGTCAAGTTTTATAGGGTCGAGTCTGAATCCAAATATTTTATTAAGTATTAGTGTTTATTCATATAGTGATTTGGCAAATTAAGCTTAATATATAAACCTTATAAAAACTTGATAAACAGACACAGAGACTAAGAATCTTGTGGTATTTTACACAGGGAAGGATGCGACCTTGGATTTCGAAGATGTCGGCCACAGTGACTCGGCAACAGAGATGATGGAACAGTACTTTGTTGGGGAGGTTGACACCGCAACACTCCCAGCAGAAGCTAGGAACAATCAACCTCCACCAATTCAAACAACTACCTTAAGCAATGAATCTTCTGGATTTCTCTTTAAGTTCTTGCAGTACTTGGTGCCATTGCTGATATTGGGCTCTGCATTTGCTCTGCAGTACTATGGGAAGAAAAGCAAGACCAATGAATCATAAAAACTAAGTTTGAGCTTGTTATAGTTTTAGACTTTTACTAGACCTATATTATTATTATTATTATTATTCATATTTATCTATAACTATCAAGGCAGTATCATAATAAGGCACTGTTTTTTTTTTTTGGACTATCATTTAAAGTATGTGTTTCATTGTGTCTCAATAACATGCAATAACATGCAAGAGAGTTTGTGTTCTTGATTTGATATGGACTCTTGTTTCATACTAGGTGTTCATTTAGTTTCAGATCTTATATGTCATAAATATTTTGAAATGGGTGTTACTAATTTATTATTCTTGGGTTGCGCTACAGCATTGAGTTTACCAATTTCATGCACATTCAATTTTTTTTGAACATGAATGCAAATAGACTTCGCATTTGTTTGCTGCTACATTTCAATTTGTTGGCAAAATGGATCCGGTTGGCCTGGCATTTTGTACACTTTTTTTTACAGGGCTGACCAAGGTCTTTAGGCTGCACTCTTTAATATGCTTATTCCTTCCCATCTCTTTTTTTTTTGTGAGTTTTTGTAGGCTTTTGTAGGTATTGACTAGATTGGGTCGAGTTAGGCTTTGCTAAACTTGATTATGGCGTGCTAAAAATTTTAAAGTTTAAGTCTGGTTTGTGGTTTATTAAAGGCTTGTTTTTATACCTGAGGCTGATCTTTTTGAAAGCTTGATTGGCTTATTAGTTTACATAAAAACTTATTTTTATTTGAATATTTTCGAATAAGCAATTCAACTAATGTTAAAATAGACTAACAACTTAAAAAGATTAATTAGAAGCTTATTTGAATTGACTTATTCAAGTTTACTTATTAACATATATTTTGTGATACTATTTGTTTGAGAGAATTTATTAAAATAATTTATGATATTTTTCGAAGTTTTTTCAATGTATTTTCATAAGTCTTTCTAAACATATAAATTTTATTTTTGTATTTTAATTTAAAATACAAATACCATATAATAATAATATAAGTATTCATATTTATTTAAATAGGCTGACCTGATAGGTTTAAAAGACTTTTTTATAAAAAAGTCTGAGTCTTTTCTATTAAAAAAAAAAGTTTGACCTATGTAGATTAGTCTGTAGGTCTCTGTTATTGGTCTGACCTACTTTTACTCTTAAATGTAATGTCTGTCTCACCTCATTTATTCGTGGACTAGATCAAGATTTTAAACTTACGCCCTTAATTATTTTTGTCTTGTCCCGTCCAGTATCTTTTGCGAGATTTGGTAGGACATGTCTAAATAAGATGGACATATATAAATGTTGTAAGACAAATTTAAATAGGGTGGACATTACCGTTTACCACCTTTAATTTAAGTATTCTAGACGCGTGTGTTTTTGTTTTAATTAGGAGTTTTAGTTTTTTCAATTTGAGAAACATCGACCTCGCTGCCGCACATCCAAACAAGCTGTATAACTTCTTCATCCCTAGAAGAAGCTAGTGACCAAACAAACTCTCCCTAAGAATGAAAGCCTTTGACCATCTGAAAAAAAAAATTCTTGTCAAACATTTTCCCAAAACCTTTTCATTTTTTTCCTTTCAATCACTTAACTTTTCGTTAAAAATCATTTTCCATATTTAACAATCACTTTTACAAACCCACAATAGATCCAAGGATTAGATGAACACATTATAAAGCTACAAGATTTGGTCCCCAACCCTAATGCATATCCAAGACAAAATGTGTCATTTTGTTGTAGACATCATTGGACCCCTCCCTCCTTTGCAAAGCTAGAGAGCAATAGGTAGACGCAAAATCTGGTTTGTCCCACTTTGTTTGGCCCAAATATTACCTCATAATTAGTAACAACACATCCCACGAATCAATTTCTTCCATCATCACTTCAAATATTTTGTTGGGGTCACCTTCATCTTCATATTTCAACTTTATATTGTTTTCATAATATATACACATTTAATAATTCCAAGTCTTTTCATCATATAATACATAACTCCTTTTTCTTTTCAAATCTTTTTTTTTATCTCTAAGTTTCTTTTTCTTTCACATAATTAAAGGTTTAAAAAAGATGGACACGGTTTTAGATTTTTCTGGATGGAACATGAACATGATAAAGACTATTTAATAGCCTTTTTATAAGATTATTTTTTTCTTCATTTTTTTGATGGATAATATTATTTTTTTCATGTCATTTGATGTTATGTATAAAGTTTATGATACTATATTGGAGTAGCTTTTTTTACAACTAGTAAAGCTAGGCTAATTTGTTTCTTTCTTTTTAAATAATTTTGATAAAGGATGTGATCTTTTGCTCTATGCTAATGCGGTTAAATAATCTTATTAGTTTAATTATTAGTTTATACCATGCCAAATTGGGAGACAGTGCTTGGAAAATGTAGAAAAGTGACATACCATTAAAATGTAATAAATATGTAAAGTATGTATCTGATCCCAATGTTTGATAATATACACTTGTGTTATTTGTTTGTAAAAGTTCATGAATAGTGGTTTTTACCTAAAATTTACCACCTAAAATTTGAGGTCTTCTTTATTTATTTTTTACACTCTTAAGATTCCCCACCCCTCTACTGTTTAATGGTTTGAATTTTATCTAATAAGTAAAAAGTTGCTATATTAGAGTTTGAAGTGAGACGTATCAGTGTATATAAATTTTTTTTAACACTTTATTTTTAATTAATGTGAAATTTTAATATCTTCTTAATATATCTCTTACGCCCAACACTCTTTGTTGAGGCTTGGTGCGTGATTTAAACGGTGGCCGATGCAAGTTTCAATCGATAGAATCTGATATCATATTAAGATGAGTCTAACTTAATCCTACAAAATCAACTTAAACGGTGAGGATTGTTTCAACTTATAAAGACATGTTCAGACCATATATTATTTTGATATAAGACTCTTAATATATATCATCACGTTCAGAACTAGACAACTGAAGCGTAAAAATAAATGATAAGTGATCCAATAACAAAAATTTAATTGAGTCTAATTCATCCATTTAAAACTGCTTTGTAGCATGAAGATTGTCTCCACTTAGAGTTTGACATAACTCATTATCATAAAACCGACTTATGAAGAAAGATATATCATTCTATATAAATATATTTTAATAGTAGAACTTGAGGATCTTCTTGATAATTTTATTTATTTAAAATTAATGTATCATTTGGAAAAACACAAAGTTCATGTTAAGTTACACTCCGTGATTTTATATTGTAAAGTTCATAATTTTAAAGATTAGTTTTCATGCTTATATATCTTTAAAAAAGTTGGATAAAATCCACTACTATCCTACAACTAGAATCAGTCATGTTTGAAATCATAGAAAAGAGACTCTCATGTGATTTTTTTCTTCCAGAAAAGATCAAATGAAAGATCTTCAAATATTTCTAAATATTCTCTTCACTTGTGGACCTACCATAAACTTGTCAATTCCATCATAAGTAAAATAATTGTACACTTGATCAAATTAGATATGATTAACTAGAAATTCATGCAGATATTTTGTGAGTATTATTTATGTAAAAAATTTAAAAATCAATATTGATATTTTTAAACGGTATATTCTTCTGATTATTTATTCCTAATTAGGTTTACTTGTTATAATTATTGCTTGTTTCCTAATAAGTTACTCTAATTTAGAGTAAATAACCTTAGACTTTAGTGTAGCCTCATGTGAATGTCATGCCTATTTCCAGTGAGTAAAAAGTACCAATAATTATGTACATCTAAATAATCCTAAATTGGAAAAAAAACATTATGTAGGGTTGTGCTAAATTTCTCTTGCGTGTGGAAAATCAAATTACTAAAACAGTCCTTCACTTGGATATATTATACCCAAATTATGAAAAAGAAGAAGATAACATTACCAAAAGCCTAACTAATTTAATTTTTCTTAATTAAGTACGAAGTCTTATGAACTACAGACTCCGACACAAATATCTGACATGATAAAAATATACACATTAATATTAATATATAATTAAAAATATATGATATTATTTTATCTTGATTTATCTATTTATTTATTTTTAAATTAAAAATATTTTAATCAAATTTAATTTCTTTAACTCTATTAATCAATATTGTTAGTACACTTTTTCAATTCTTTTAATTAGATGTATTTGAAGTTTGTTTAAAATTTTTTATAAAATATGTGAAAGTAATGAAAAACAATTTTTATGACAGTTATTTAAATTGTTGTATTATATAAATTTTAGACGGATGTCGAGCACCAATTTAAAATGATCCAAGCATAAAAAAAAATGTTTTTTTTGAGATATTTATTAGTTTATTAGATCTAGTAGAATTGAGTCACAAATCTATGAAGTACAAATATCTGTAGTATTATAGGTGTTATAGTATCTAACACGCATCAATAGATATTAGATACTATAACACCTATAATACTATAGATATTTGTACTTCATAGATTTGTGACTCAACTCTACTTGATCTAATAATATTTTTAAGATACTATATATAATTGTTATTAATCAATATCGTCATTAATAAGATGTCTTTATTTCTTTCAAATAATTTTTTTTTGAGATTTGGAATAGATGCCACATTAATTTGTTGGAGGCCTAATCAGATTAGTCAAGTTTACCAAACAGACACAAAGGCAAGTTGAAAGGTTGTCATGAGATGATTATGTCAAAATCAACAAAGGGAACAACATTATTAGTGCATTCCATCTTGATCATAATATTATAATTAGTATTAATCTAGCTAGATTTGGGGACATATACAATTATAATGTACATATCATTATGTTGTTTTTGTCATTTACCGTTTCTAATGAAATTTCAATCACCTACTGATTAACCTTATTCATGCACTATGCCTTGCATTATCATTGTCCATTTTTCAATCATCATAATACCAAGTTTTATCATGTAATTTCATAATTGTCATAGCATGTATAAATTTTATTGTCAAATTGCATCTCTACTGTAATATGTAAATCATCTTCGTTGTATATATACTTGTATACTCTATTTCAT